GGAACAACTTGAAATGAAAAGATGATAGTACAATTGAGGCATGCAGAACAAAAGGAACTAGAATGGCATGGAACTCCTAGCAAGGGCGAAATCTGCCAGCGCAGCAGAAGAGCGGCTTGCCAACGTTGCAGCAGAGTGTTCTGCCAACGTTGCACTGCGCGCGGTCTGCCAGCGTTGCAGTCGCAGGTGACTATCTGCAGTCGCAGGTAACTATCTGCAGTCGCAGGTTGTCTATCTGCGCAGATGTGCGCACCTACCAAGTAGGTGCAGGTTGGCGGTTTCACCGTCATGCACATTGCGCAGGTGCCAGGTAGAAAACGTGTCGTCGGTTTCGCCAGGTGCGCACCGTCGACCACGTGATGCCGTTCCGCAGGTAGAACTTCGCCAAAATCTCATGGGCGAAAGTTCGCACGCCTCCGCAGAGTTTCGCAGAACTCTGCAACTTCGGTCGAAGGGCTCCTCATCGCTCGGTCGAACAGAGTTCGTCGAGCATAGCTCTTCGACCAGAACTCTTCGACCAGAGTTCCTCGACTCGAACTCTTCGACCAGAGTTCTTCGACGGAAGTTCGTCGCGCAGAGATCGTCGACCAGAGCTCGTCGCGCAGAGCTCGTCGACCAGATTCTGTCGAGCAGAGTTTGCTCGATTGCAACTTCCGTCAAACTGCAGAAGACTACTTCTACCAATCCGTCGAGAACTTCCCGTCGACGGCGAGATCGGCTGCGCCCAAGCGAGGGCGGGGCCTTTCTCTTCGACAGTTGTTCACCGCCTGACTGGTTCTCTCGCCTTCTTTAACAGTGGGCTCCTAATGCTATTCATCTCACGTCTTGCATAGCTATATATTTTCATCACGTATCTGATCAACTTCCGATTTCAACGCCTGCATACTGGGTTTCATGAAAAAGATTGGATTCATCAATTTAGAAGGTCACATGATCCATCTATTATTAAAGACGTTTATGACAACCTGGTCTGATTGTTAGAGAATAGTGCAAACACAACAACTATCAAAGTTCAAAAAGCTCAAATCAAACTAATTCATACTTGTTCCACTACACTACTATGGATAAGTGGGGTGAAAATTAGCAGTGATATTAAGTGTTAAAAGTTGTTCAAAATGTGTGCGTCAAATTTATGACCAAATGGACCGACGATACATTGAGGAAAAAAATTCTATAGTGGGTTAACATAGATTGATGAAACCTATATTTTGGTTCATGTTAGGAACGGAAAATGTGAAGGCGATGCGAGACAGCTATGGTATCTAGAAAGTCGGCCAAGCCAGTACTTTTTAGAGATCGGGTTGTACGCGAAATAAAATAAGGACACAACAAAGGAAAATAGCAATTTCCTTGCACAAACTCTCTGATTGGCCGTCCAATATATTCTCACACCGAGTTTGTCGAGCATGTAGCGTTCTAATGTTGTGCTATTCTGTCAAATATTTGGGTATAATTATAGGTTGTTTCACTGTGCTGACAAACACATCTCTTGACTTCCTGCCAAGAACGCTGCCTTTTATGTGCCTACGCCGGCACCGGACGGCTGTTATTATTATGCCGGCCCAGCTTGCTTAAGTTTTAGTTTGCCCTTTACAGAAAGACGTATCTACATTGACCCATTATATTCGGTGTATATGCAATCACAGTTTTATGAAAGGTTCCACAACCAGAACTTCGATGGATTTTCAAGGGAGGAGCAAAAGCTGCAATACTTCAGCAAGGATAAATCTAGCCCCTGACATGACTTAAATCCTTCTTGGACGATTGTGGGATGATCCCGCCAAGATCGCTTTGTGAACATTTGTGTGCCTACGCCGGCACAGGCCGGCTGAATCATTGTGCCGCCACAGTCTGCTTAAGTTTCTGTTCGCCGCTTACGAAAATGTTGTCTACACTTACAGGTGATACACATGTACAGAAATGTACAGAAATGCGCTGATTTGAAGGGAGAAAAAGATGATGCCAACGCCGGCGTTGACCCAACGAACGTGTACAGTCCTTCTTGGCTTGAAATCTTGTTGGACGGTTGTGGGACGTCCCGCCAAGATCGCTTTGTGTGCGTTTGTACACATTCGCCGGCTCAGGCCGGCTGTATCATGGCCGCGCCAGCATGTTTATGATTTCCGGTTGCGCCTTATAGAAATATGTCATATACACAGATATACACTCATGGTTCCAATACCAGAACTTCGAAGCTAAGATTTTTCAAGGGAGAAGAATACACTCCAGAGGAGCAAAAGCTGCTAAAGCTGGCGGTGACCACTGACAAACTACTCCGTACATGTTGCTTTGGCGGTACAGCCCGAACGGGCTGACGACAAGTGATACAGTAAATGCGCGAAATTTGCTATTTCGCCGAAACAACACTTGATGTGATTTGGCATGTTTCATCGTGCCACCGCATCATGGCTGTGTGACCGTCTGCAACCCGTTTCTTTCTTGATCGAGTGCCTTTCAATCACGCAAGCTACCCTAAACGCAGTTTGATGTTTCGGGTCTCAAATCGTGTATAGAAAGCACGGGTGATTTCGCGATTGTGCAATTATAGCACTGGTTCTGAACTCCAACCCGTTCTCTCGTGGATTCCTAGGCATGTTTCAGATCACATCGTTTCTGAAGATCGTCACCCCATACTGCAGTAGGACAGGGAAGAGGATTTTCGTGACCATTTCAAATCCGTTTGGGCTATCTCGGGAGGATAAATTTTCTGCTTTGTACAGTGATGTGTTCTGTACAGCGGGCGGGTGTCCCCCGTTCACTTCTGTACAGTTGACGTTCTGATCAACCTCACGTGCTGAACGTTTCGACACTTTTTCCAGGGGATACAGCTGATTCGTCTGGAAGTGTACAGAACTTTTCTGATTTCAGCATTGTTGCCTGTACAGATGCTCTTTGTTGCCATGTCACTGATAACGACGGATCCACGAAACCATCTGGATTGTTCGCACTGTAGTGTGTTGCAATTTCTCCTGCCCGTAGTGTGTCACAGCGCCTGAATAAAACGCAAAGGACCTGGGACTGAGGGACTCGTGTGTTGTGCACTACAGTGCAAGTGCTAGTGAAGACTGTTCGGCCATCTGATTGGTGAAGAATAGATTGACTTTTGCCGCTGAAATCCTCTTACCCAATCCGATCATTCAGATACTGCCTGTCAGGTATCTTGGCCGGGCCATGAAACGGTGCGGCGCTCAATCCGGCTGGTGCTGGCGGCGCATCGTAAAATGGGCAACACAGTGACGCTGACACGCCCTTGTCTGGTGGATAGTGGCGCATACTGGCAAAATGGCACAAAGTGGACACGTGTTAACACAAGGTTTGGGGGAGGCGACCCACCACTTGAGAGGTTCAGTATATTTGCCCCATTTCGCCCTACAGATGGGGTGGGATGCTTGTTTGGGAAGTCTGGGTAGATTAAATGTCGTAGTTTGCTTGAAAAAATAAAATAAAAAACAAAAACAGAGGAACTTCCACAACGAACTATAAACTGGCAGGCCAGAATAACGGCGTGTGCAATTCGTGGTGCCCTGAATCGGCTCGGCTCGGGGCACGGGTTCAGGAAGGCTCCAGGACAACTAGGGGCCGTAAACGACCAAAAACTTTCTATGTCCTAATGTAATCTTCGCAAATAACGCTTTCAACCATTATCTTGAAAATTTGGGCGTGTGCACTAGCGTTCGAAAAGATTAGACTTTGTTGGTAACCGGATTTCTTGCATCTCGCAAAGGACCTTCGCGAGGAGTCTTTTGAAGAAGTTGACACTTTTCGAGTTTGGAATCAAACTTAAAATCGAATCAGTGCCCAGGTTTGGCCTTCCGCCTGTCTGGAGCCTTCCAAACGGCAATTGCAACACGTCCTAAGTGTTTTTGTGGACCCAAAGTAAAAACTCCGGACTAGTTCTGTGCCACTGCATTGTTCTTTAGCGAACACTCGAACGTCGCTTTTCTTTCACATGGAACCGAGACTGCCACCGAAAGGTCGAGAAATGGAAAAACGGAATGAGAAAGGGAGGGCTGCGTGGGAGAGAGGGTTTGGTACGTACGCCCCTAGAGAGGGGGGTGGGTGGAGGCACAAAACATGAAGGAGCTCAAACATTTCTGCAGGATTCTCTCAGTGACTCGGACGGGTAGTTTCTACTATAAAGTACAGCCCCGAAAGAAAGGCTGTTGTGACAATACCAAGCCCGAAGAGGGTGGTACAGTTCGCGAATAATGGGTTTTTAGGATGGTGTACAAAACTCACACTGAAATGAAGGCCAAACAGGAGAAAACGCCCTGCCATCCTGAACCATTTCAAGGTACCCAACCCAACACCCCTCCCTCATACCCCCCCTCGCAACCATCCTCTTGTCTGAAACCTTCCTCCACACAGGAAGGCCAATCTGTGCTCCCATCAAAGGCCTCCACGAGCTAAGTCAACAGGTGCTCCAAGTGCTACTAGTCAACACGGTTTTTGACTGAAAGTGGTACTTGGTCGTTCACGCGGTGGAGAGAGGACTCAACGCAGCGCGTCTTTTTCACTCTCACCAGCCACTTGGACAGTTAGCTCTAGTAAGTAGACTTTTGAGTCGGACTCAAAAATCACCGCGTATCCGGGAGTACGCGGCAGCAGCTGCCAGTCGCGTCGGCAGAATCTCATGCACACATACGAAGTCGAAGCAGGCGTAAGGTATACGTTGTAACGGGACATCGTCAAAATATAATAGTTCTCAGTCATGATTGCGGGCCGAAACCAATTCAGTTATCAATAGATGCAGCATGGACGAGAAGCGTGTGCCAACGCAGCCTGGCCCCCACGCCGACGGGCAGCGCCAAAATCAAGCTGTTGGAGCGATGCAGCGCGCGCGGCAAGAGGACCAAAAGCTCTCATACGACCAACAAACCGCGAGCGATCCAGCAACACCGTCATGGTCATTGGAGGCTCACCTTCGTGGCGCGCGGCAGATCATGGAGGCAAGCTCTCTGACAGCATTCAATGGTACTAGCGCCCTGAACGCGAACAGCATGAAGGCCGCACTACCTGCGATACTAGCCTCTGGGACTGTATACCCTTCCTGGGGTTCGGGGTGGAAACAGGTGGCGCAGCAGACGAAACAGCAGCAGCCGCAGCAGCAGCAGCAGCAGCAGCAGCAGCAGCAGCAGCAGCAGCAGCAGCAGCAGCAGCAGCAGCAGCAGCAGCAGCAGCAGCAGCAGCAGCAGCAGCAGCAGCAGCAGCAGCAGCAGCAGCAGGGGCAGGGGCAGGGGCAGGGGCAGCAGCAGATGCAGATGCAAGCGCAGCCGCAACAGCAGAAACATCAGCAGCAGAAGGAGGGGCAGTGGAAGGGGCAGCAGCAGCAGCAGCAGCAGCATCAGCAGCAGAAGGAAGGGCAATGGAAGGGGCAGCAGCAGCAGCAGCAACCGGGGCAGGGACAGGGGCAGGAGCAGGGGTTCATGCACCTGCTTACCAGACCCTTGGGAGCTGCCCAGTTTGGCCAGGGGCAAACACCGCTGGTGACACAGCCCTACAGTCAGTCCAATCCTGAGGATGTCCCCTCAGTACCAGCTTCAGCGTTAATTCCGAAAGTGCCCCTGCCATTCCACCCGCACGTGCAATGGGTGCAAGACACTCTGCATCTGGACCAGATTCAACAGCAGCAGGAGCCAAAGCTACAATTGGAGTCTCAGCCGGTGCAGCAGCCACAAGGGCAGCTCAGGTTGGACCAACTGTCGGCGCAGCTGCAGCCACTACTGCAGGGACAGACGCAAGCCGTCACAAAAGATATCGAAAGCCAATCCTCTCCGGAGTCCACACGCAAGCGCACCATACGCAGCCGGAACTATACCCAACCAGGGAAGTACCGTGGAGTGAGGAAGCGAGGCGAGGGTCGGTTCATCGCCGAAATAAAAGACACGACTTTCGGCGTGCGCAAGTGGCTGGGGACGTTTGCCACTGCAGAGGAAGCTGCCCTGGCGTTTGATCGAGCCGCTGTGCAGATTCGAGGGAAGAAGACGAAGCTTAATTTTCCAGAGTTGATTCTGGGGGGCGAAGGAACCGCCGGGCAGGAACCTGCAGCACGAGCGATAATGAAGAACGAGGAAGCTTCTGCAGAGAAAATTATGGAACCCCCTTGTAACCTGGAGGGGAGGATGTCTGCCGAGCCGGTGGCTGAGGGGGCAGCTGGGCGATTGGGTGAAAACGGAGCCTGGCAAAGTGCGTATGGAGAGGCAATTGCTACAGCTGCACAGGCAGCAGGTTGCAAAGCTGTAGCTACAGCACAAGCAATATCGGACACGGACGTGGTTGGGCTCACGACCTGTGCAGACAGCAGCACTGTCAGTGGAAGCAGCTCGAGCAGAGCTGGCCCTTCCACCTCGTCTGCCTCCGCGCCTGCATCCATCCTCTCCATTCCTCCGACCATGTTTCTACCTAGAGAACCGTGTTCTGCAGGCTTGGAGCACGACGGGCGTTTCACAAAGGGCATAGACAGCATGCTGGTTGCCGATGCTGGTGCTGGTAATGGCGGTGTGAAGGAGGAATGCAGGCAGGAGGATTTTTTTCTGGAAGAGGTGAACAGTGGAGGTTTAGAGGTTGTGCATGGAAAGGGAATAGCGGAGAAGGAGAAAATGGATCTTGGAAGTGAAATCAGATCCGACGGAGAATTTCGCATAGAAGATTTGGATTTCTATTTCCAGTCGCCTCACCCACTTCATTCACAGCTCCAGTTTCCAATGGCGTCAATGCAATCACCACAGACGCACGGGGGATGGTTGTGGCAGGGGCAGCATGGCCAGCAGCAGCAGCAGCAGCAGCAGCAGCGGCACCAGCAGAAGCAGCAGCAGGTGGAGCAGCAGGTGCATCAGGAGCAACAACGCCAACAGATGGTGCTTCAGAAGCAGTCGACGCAGGACGAGAAACCACCTCAGCATATTCCTGCCTCCTCACACCCGCTACAGTCGTGGGCTATCACTGCTGCCATGCCTCTCTCCGCAGCCATGGCTCACCGCAGCAGCCCCCCACGCCAAGGCATGTCAAGTCAAGCAATGGTGCGAGTGGAAGCAACTGCCATGGCTAGTGGTAGCAGTAGCAGCGGCGGCAGTAGCAGCAGTGGCTGCAGCAGCAGCGGCAGCGGCAGTGGCAGCGGCAGTTGCAGGCTCTTGGATTGCAGTACCTCTCCTCAACCTGTATTCGAGGCAGAAGAGGCCAGCAAACCTTCCGAGCTACTTGCACCACGTCGTCCTTCAGCAACACACTTCTCGTGGGACGACTCATTCCAAGAGGGTCAGCTGAGTGAAGGGGCACATCATGTCGTCACTGCGCTGGAGGTGATGTTTCCCAGGCTACCAGACCATGCAGTCAAGCAAAGGCCACCACGAGAGCATGGGGCGTCTCCATATGATGCAATGGAGAATGTGGTGCTCGATGGTATCATGCACACTGGAGAGCTGCTGCGTGAGATGAATCAGCAACACGTGCATGAAGCGGTGTTGGGTCCGCTATGGGATGAGCCGCACGGTAGCACAGCAGTGCAGGCGGCATGGGACCAGTCTGCGAGTGCATGGAGCACAGAGGCAGTGGGGAGTTTGGTGTTGAGTGATGCAGACCCGTTTGAAGCGCCCAAGGCACAAGCCATGGACGAGCTGTGGCCCAGTGACGTGCAGTTCACTGCTGTTGGCATGTCTGGTCCCTCTGCTCCTGTTGAACAACGCCTACAGCAGCGATTCCAGCAGCAACAGCCGAACGGTCAGCAGCACGATCACCAGTAGCAGCAACCGCCACAGGCTAAACCACAGAAGCTGCAGCAACAGCACCAGCAGCCACCCCAGAATCCTCTGTGTGAACTGCAAGGAAAAAGGGTCCTTCCATCCGCCAGGGCCTCCACTGCCAATAATTAGCTGTCAATGGGAGAATGGTTGGGGGAATGGACAACGAGAGACCAGGATGCCTTCATGAGCTACCGTGTCAGCCACTGTCAGAGCCTTCTTCAGTTTGTGCACCGGCATCCATCCCATAGCAGGCTGACGTGGCGCTGATGAGATAGGGCTGACCTTCTCCTCTCCTTCAGTTGCGGTGTCAGGTGTTGTCCTCATGGGATGATAAAAGGCTCGATTTTAGGAGGGTGTGCCTTGTGCATTAGGCTGTGGTGATGGATGAGATTTCACCAAGCACATCACCGGGCATGCATGCCCAAAAGGTGGTGGATAAGAATTTGCAGGCAATGGAGCTGCACATTTTTTGGGCAAACAGTATGCACACATCTGTAAAAAGGGCTGGCAATGCTCCAGTAATTACTGAGGGCAGCAGACTCCGCATTTGACAGCAATAGCAACAGTTGTGAACTGAGTCAAGTGAATTGCTTGATAACTGCCAATTATTAGAAGCTGAAATTACACACGGGGCTTCTAGTTTGTTATAGCTCCAACGCCTATCCTGTACAGACTTCATGTAAATTTTCATTTATTTCTTCTTGGTAAACAATACACATGGGGAACAAATTGGAGGGCTTTTCCAGGGCTGATTTTATCAGGGTAATTACCCTGATTTCAGGGTGATTGATTACCGTATCACCCCGGATATAAGCGCAGGCCTATTAAAAGCGCATGCACTTATATCTGGAGCAATGCGCTTATGGCCGATCCTCATTTATAAGCGCACCCCCTGTAAAACCCTGATTTATTATAAGCGCATGTACAAATTTAATTTTAAATCATGATTAAAACGGTAACGATTCCCTGTTTTGCAGGGAGTCCACCCACATCCATTTCTACCGTACTTCGGTTGACTATCTTGAGCACGGGCGATTTGATCAGGAAAGGCGGAACCTTGCGAAGCCGTTGACTGACAGCCCTTTCGGGGCGAAGGGGGGGTGGGAAAAGGGACCGTGCCTGTGCGCTGCGAGCGAGCGACTGCACGCGAGTGGCTCGTATGCTGGCCTGGGGCGAAGCTGACTGACAGCACAGTCGTGGGGGCTGTGCACTGAGCGAGCGACTGCATGTGATTGGCTCATACACTGGGCCGGGGCAAGCTTGACGTGTCCTTGCCCCTGTGCGCCGGCAGAAAATCGCACTCGCGCGATTCTGACGCCCATTTCGATTTGATTGAAAATGCAACTATACTGGGATGCATAATTTGGTGCTTTAAATCATAATTATATATTTGCCATTATATAAGCGCATGCGCTTATAAATTTGACTCAATTATAAGCGCACCCCCCTAAAAAAACACTGTTTTATTATAAGCGCAGGTGCGCTTATATCCGGGGTAATACGGTGCAGGCTTCTCACCTGGTGGTCCCTACAATTTCAGAATTTCTGACTTGTGAACACTGATCCATTCAGAATAGTGCTTTAGCGAACCCTGGAAATTTGTATCTAGGCTCAGAATATTTTCTTAATGACTCCGTCAACGTAGAGTACGCGTTCAGCGGACCCTGAATGTGAGGGTATCGGGACGAAGGTTCTCGAAAATTTCCTCCCGATAACCCCCCATGTCGCTTGTACCCATGTGAGGGAGCCCTTTCCGTACAGTAATACCGACAAGTAACACCCAGATGGGAAGGTGGGGTGGATGTTTGGGGAGAAGGTGGTGTGGGGTGGATGTTTGTGGTGTCGTGCGAGGCGCAGCGTGTTGCGGGGATTTTTTGCAGAACACCTCTGACACAACAGATCTGCTTGTGTCAGAGCGAATCTCTTGTCCTTGACAGGGGTAATTTCTGTGCGAATTTGCTCTGACAGGGCAAATTTATTGTGCGAATTTCTTCTTCGAAGCACAGGCCCATTTATCGAGGAAAGGGGTTACACCATCGCCAGTTCGTGCGATGTGCTGTTTTGTCGCCTTTCTTGGCGCCAATTTTTTTGGGGGTTGTTTCAAGGTGTTTCGCTCACTGTCTGCAAATGTACCTACACTATGGTTGACGGCGAACGTGCGCTGTACTTTGGCGTGTGCTGAAGGTCGCAGACACCACGCGATATCGTGCAGTCAGTTCGCATGGGTGGCACATTGTGGGCCATATTCGCGGCTGTGTGGTGCCAAGTAATACTGACTTGTACTTTCGGGCACACTTGTCCAGATCTTTATGGCGGGCGAACTTCAGAACCGTACAGTAATCTGACCCAACGCTTTGTGTGACTTCAGTACAGCACAATCACGACTGCCAACGTGGTTGTGTTTTCTGTTGACTTTGACCGACAAGGAAGTGAGGAGTGGGAAATGTACAGTACAATCCGCGTGGGGGAAATTTGTGTGATTGACTGCAACACTGATTTCTTGATCTGAACCCTGACGAATCAGAGTGAGGCGTTGTTGGACACTGACCAATCAGAGTAGCAAACCTCTAAAAAATGTGCCCTCATAATATAGGGGGGGATTTTTTTCCCGAAATCAGGGAGGCCCAAAATGAAACGTCAGCCCTGGGCTTTTCGTAATGTACAGTGGGTCACTATTGAGCGATAATGTGGTGAAAATGCGCTGCATTGAGCTGCCAAAATATTCCCTCTTGGTAATGCGCATGAAGACGTGATGATTGTCAGAATGTTATCTTATGCTCTAGCCTGTAGTGGGGTGCTCTATAGCGAGTACAACCCTTCTAGGGTTTCCTATTTGTATCCCCATTCTTGCTAGTGCATCCCCCTTCTTCCTTCTTCTTTCTTCTAAACTTTAACATGCTATCAGAGCAGGTCGATCCCCTTGGATCGATCCTGTGGGTGGGCTTACCACCTCCTAGCTTCCGCTGCAACTCCTACCACTACACTCGGTGCCGCACGCCCCGTGGCGTGTGGCAGTTTTCTTCCCGCCGTGCGCCCCGAGGCGCGCGGCGGTTTTCTTCCCGCCGTGCGCCCCGAGGCGCGCGGCGGTTTTCTGCCCGCCGTGCGCCCCGAGGCGCGCGGCGGTTCTCTGCCCGCTGTGCGCCCTGAGGCGCGCGGCGGGCTTCGGCCCCGTCAACCGTCGCGTCGCCCTCGGGAGGCGCCGCGACGGGCGACGGGGACCCGTTCGTCGCCCCCCGTCGCCCGTCGTGGCCTGCGCGCGGCCCGTACAGGCAGCGCGCGACCCGTACGGGCTGCGCCAGGCCCGCGCGCGACCCGTACGGGCTGCGTCAGGCCCGCGCGCCACCCGTACGGGCTGCGCCAGGCCCGCGCGCGGCCCGTACGGGCGGCGCCAGGCCCGCGCGCGGCTCAGGCCGCCTACGCGCGGTTCGGGCGACCCTACCAGGCCCGTGGTGGGCCCGCTCCTTGCTGCCCCTACCCTCCCTACTGTCCCCCAGCGCTTCTACTCGTGCCCCACCCCTCCTACTCCCCATTCTCCTGTATTAGGGTTTGGGGGTGCGGGGTATGGGGGTGCACCCACTGTGTACTGTTCCCTGCTCCTCCTCCTCCTCCGTCTCCCTGTGCTGCAGCTGCCGCTGAGGGGGGGTGGACGTGTTGGAGCCGGTGGAGTGGTACTAAGGGGGGGTGAAGGGGGAGTGGAGCTAGCGGTGTAGCAGCGGGTATGTGCCAGGGGGGAGTGGGATAGTTTGGGGAAGCTGAATGGAGGTTGCCGTCGTGTCGCCAGCAGCACCTGTATTCCGGGGACTTCGTCCGGTAGCCCAGTCGTAGCCAGCTGTGCCAGCCGCCCGTGGGTCCGTTGCTCGTCTGCCGCTACTTTAGCCGCGGGGCCTGTTACTCCTGTATTCCGGGGACTTCGTCCGGTAGCCGCTGTGCCAGTCTGCCTCCTGTTGCCTGTGTGTCTGCAGCTTCAGCCGTCGCCTCCTATCTCCTCTCCTCTCACTCTCTCTCCTCCTCCTCACTTGCCCGTTGTGACTACCACTAGCTTTGCTCATAATTGTGAACTTAAACTATTGCTTCTTGAACTTGTGCTCAGAATGTGTGGTGACATTGTGATCCACCCTGAGCTTGTACTCCTTTGCTTACTCTGCTGATTACACCCCACTTTGGCTATGGGGGTGTGTCAGAATGTTATCTTATGCTCTAGCCTGTAGTGGGGTGCTCTATAGCGAGTACAACCCTTCTAGGGTTTCCTATTTGTATCCCCATTCTTGCTAGTGCATCCCCCTTCTTCCTTCTTCTTTCTTCTAAACTTTAACAATGATTGTAGGCACATTTAGCACATGGCAGCAGCCCTCGCCTACATCACACATATGTAGTGTCTACGAAAGAATTACGATGAATGATTGACTAGGAAATGAGTTGGGTACAAATATGTAACCCTAGGAACATGTACCCCATACTGTCTACCCCACTACAGCCTAGAAAGACTATAGCATGAATGTTTGACACACCCCCATAGGCAAAGTGGGGGAGAACAAGGGGTCACAAGACCAGTCAAGCAAGGCAAGCTCAGGGTGGATCACAACGTCACCACACATTTCGAGCACAAGTTCAAAGGCCAAAAGGCCAGTTCACATGCAGGATTATAAATCAAGGTGAACAAGCAAGACAGTGATCGCAACCTAGCAAAGGTATACAGGCAGGTGCAGGATATATAGATCACAGTACAAAGCAAAGTCAATAGGTAAGCAAGTGAGGCCAGGTAGGCACAAGACCTAACATAGTACAGAAGCACTGATGATCACAAGGCTGAAGTGCCTTGGTAAAGATATCAGCAGTGTTGGCCTGAGAGGCCACGTAAGCAAGGCGCAGCTGACCACGCTGCTGCAGCTCACGTGCAAGGAAGTAGCGAAGAGCATGTGCTTCGTTCTGTGCTCCAGTCTGTGCTCCTGACACAAGGCCAGCATGGCCTTGTTGTCTACGTACAGAACTGGAGGAGAACG